CGGCTATGGCCGCTGGCAGGATATACAAAATGATATACGTTTTGCCATTATCAACGAACCATTCAAAATGGATGTTGGCAAAGGAAATTTCTTGGAAATTAAAAATAAATTCTTGGCCCGGCGTTTTAAGTTACTCGAACAATCTTTGGTTATTGAAGAACAGCTGAGAAGGGCAGCCTTCTTGAATTTGGCACAAGATCCTAATCATCCAGCCATGTCGTTGAATGCACGCTTCGCTGAGGTTGAATGCTTGGCCGAGTCTCATCAACATTTGAGCAAGGAATCATTGGCTGGTAATAAACCAGCTAATGCTGTTCTTCACAAAGTACTCAATCAATTGGAGGAATTATTATCCGATATGAAGAGTGATGTTTCTCGTCTACCGGCCACATTGGCACGTATACCACCCGTTGCCCAACGTTTGCAGATGTCTGAGAGATCGATTCTTTCGCGATTAGCTGCTACAGCTGGAAATGTTAGCAATGCCGGTAAGTTGTTGTTTTATTTAATATATTTTTAGAGAAATTGTTAGTTCAGTTCTTGTTTAGTTCTTGTAGATGAAATTTGTGATGATATTGTTAATTAAATTTTTTTTTTTTGTTATTTTTAGCTCAACTAATGGCTCAATTTCCTGCTGGTTTTCAAGGCACTACTCTACCAGCGTTTACTGGTGGACCAGCTGGCAACTTCTCTAATTTCCGGCCTCAATTTTCGGTTCCTGGTCAATTGTCGAATAATACTAGCGGTGTCAATCCTTCGGGAAATTAAATTTATCTAACAAAAACACACACACATACACACTTCTAAAATATGATACTTTTTGAGTTTTAGTTTCGTATTTATTAATATTTTAATATACAGACATACATACATACATATATATAAAATAATATTTTAAATAATTTGCACAAATTGTGCAAGAAATTTTACAATATTTTACATACTTATATATATAAATAATTTCGTTTAAATGTAGTTAATTTTGATTTAATATCTATACATTTCATTTTATAATTTAAATAACTCCCATTTTTTTTTATTCTATAATTTTAAAACAAACATTGGATTAGGTTTGATTTTTTTAAATCTCTATTTTCTCAATTGTAGTACATGATATAATTTCGTTTACAAAAAAATATAATTATATATAAAATACTTATTATTATTAATCATGCCCCATATAAGCATTCGTAACGTAACTATTTAAAAATCAGTTCTAAAAACATATGGCAGTTTAAAATGACATACAAAAAAGTATTGTGAAATCTTTATTGTACAATAAAATTCAATCACAAAGTGAGGGTGTTTTCAAACAATTAGTTTCTGTTTGCTGTACTGCATATAAAGATTTAGCTAAAAATTTTCACATAGAAAACATAAAAGAACTGCAAATGATCAATTCCTATATATAAATTATGAATCCCCAAAATAAAAATTTAACAATAAATTATTCAAAAACTACAAAAAATGCTATTTTGTTTTTATTATTAATTAAGGTGTAAAAAAATGTAAAGGTGAAATGTGGGACTAAACTATAGACTAGACTATTGCCTAGGGACATATACTAGACAATAGATTAGATTGGACCAAATACATAATATTGATTATACAATTGTATATATTAGACTAGAGTCTATAGATTAGACTATAGTCGAGACAATGGACTAGACCTTATACTAGACTATACATTAGAGACCATATGTTAGACTACATATTAGATTATATTTGACCATACGTTAGACTACATCATATAATATTCTAATATATAAATTACAGTAAACTCGACCATACCATAGACTAGACCGTCAACTAAACTATATATTAGAATACATTATAGACTATATCATAAAATAAGCTATAGACTAGACTAAAAATTAGAACATAGACATGCAGAATATACACATGCATGCAGATAATACTACAAACTAGGGTTCTATAAATCGACTTTCGAATAATCGAACAATCGACTTTTTGCCGAAAAAAGTCGAAGTCGACTATTTTGTTCCAAAAAAGTCGATAACTCGACTATCGTCTATGAAAAAAGTCGAAAAGTCGACTTTGTAAATAAAAGTCGAAAAGTCAAAAAATCGGAAAGTCGAAAAAAGTTGAAAAGTCGAAAAAAGTCGAAGAAAGTCGGAAAAGTCGAAAAGTCGGAAAAAGTCGAAAAGTCGAAAAAAGTCGAAAAGAGTCGAAAATTTTAAAAAAGTGGAAAAGAGGTCAAAAACTCTAAAATAGTCGGAAAAACTCAAAAAAAAAAATAGTCGAAAAAAAGTCGAAATAAATCGAAAATAGTCAAAAAGTCGTAAAAAATCAAAAAGTCGAAAAGTCGGAAAAAGTCAAAAAGTCGAAAAGTCGACAATTTATGAAATACTAAAAGTCGACTTTTAAATAAATGAAAAAGGTCGAAAAGTTGAAAAATCGACTTTTCATAAAATGGAAAAAGTCGAAAGGTCGAAAAGTCGACTTTTAACTAAATGCAAAAAGTCGAAAAGTCGACTTTTCGTTTCAACTATAGAACCCTGCTACAAACTAGACCATACACTAGACTCTAGAATTGCTTAGAGACTACAACATATTAGACTAGAGACTAAACTGTAAAATAGACTACACCATACACTGTACTTTTAATTAGATAATAACATTAGACTATAGGCTAGACTAAAGACTAGACATACACAAGTCTATGGATATTACAAGAGGCTAGAATACAGACTTGAATATAGACTATAGAGTAGACCATACACTTGATCACACATTAGACTAGATTATAAATTAGACGTTATATTTTTGACTTTAGACTAAAACACAGACTTTGTAAACGAAATCCCAATATACAATTTTATATGATCCGGAAAGACAAAATACTGCTGAAACGCTTAGGGCCAATCTTTAGGTGAAAGATTAGCGATTAAATTAAAATTAATCCTCGAAAGATGTTTTTGAGTACTCAATTAGTTAATTTTGTTTGCAAGTTTAAGCGCCCAATGGAGGTGGTTTAATCTTAAGCACGAAATGCAAAAGTGTAAACAGCTGATGCAAAAAAATTAATAAAATTTTTATAAATATAAACATTAAAATGTTCTATTTATTGATTAGTATAAATTATGGACACTTCAAAATACATTTTTTTGTTTTTAATTTAAGTTTTCATTAATTTTCATATTAAATTTACAATTGTCTTCTTCTTTTTATAAAATATGCATTGTTTTGATAACAAACAGTGAATTTTTCTGTTGTTTTGTATGGCAACACTGCGAAGTTTAATCTTGTACTCAAAAACATCAAAGGGGATTAACATAAGGTTAAATTTATTTATAGATTAACTAATCTGATTATTAATTGGCATTTGATTACCATCTCAAAAACCCGCTCTTAAAACAAAATTTCGCTCATTTAAGCGGGCACTGCCGCTATCAGCCCCATCCGAACAAAGCACCGATTCCATTACAGCTCCATATTTATATGGTCCTATATATTCCTTAAATATACATATGTATGTACAAAGATTTTTTAATATCACACAACGCCACAGTGTGCATTTTTATGAAAAAAACTCAGTTTTTTTGAACACATTTTCCCCGTTTTATAAGTTTTCGTATTTGTATATATACATACATATATCTGGATGTACTTTATATCTTTTGGATTTATATAAAATTCATAATTTGTTGTAATATCTTTACTTAAACTTAACACCCACTAATATCAAATACATTTTATACACCGCGCAATAGATGAAAATGGTTATAAATTTTACATAACTTTAAATCTATAAAAAATTAATAATTTAAATAAAAAGTAGTAATTTAAATAATAACGTGCACTTTAGTTGTTAATAAACAAAAGTTGTCACAACAACTACCTTTCATATATAACACACAACTTAACGAAATCACTGAACATACTCAGCATAAATGTCAAAAATTTAACGAAAATTATCAAAATAATGTGAAGTTGGCTGCAAAACACCCTTCTTTCTTTCCGGTTGTCAAAAAGGTACGAAAGCAATGAATTCGCTGCTAAAGCTATTGTAAAATTTTAATATAAAAAATAATGAACATCTTTGAATTAATAAGTGAAATTTTGTATTATTTCAGTGCAAGGACGACAAATACATTTAAATATGGCTGACGTTGATGTGTAAGTGTTAAAATAATTTAGAAAAAAGTGTACGCAACATAATGAAATGCTAAACATAAACAATGCAAACAAATATTGAATAAAACTAATTAAAACTTAATATTAAATGGACGATGTTAAATAAAAAGCAATATTGTTTTATGTAAAGCAATTTGTAATGAGATAGTTAATTGGAAGTGTATTTTTCTGTGTTTTACAGAGATGTTCCCTCAGCAGCTCCCGCTGTAGGTGGTCCCATGGACATTAATCAAGCTTTGCAAGAAGTTTTGAAGAAGTCTTTAATTGCCGATGGTCTTGTACATGGTATTCACCAAGCCTGCAAGGCCTTGGACAAGTAAGTTTTAAATTATTCCGTTTCTATAAAAGATTCAGCTAACCTCATGTTTTCTTTTAATTTCCCTCTTTTTTTTAGACGTCAAGCTGTTTTGTGTATCTTGGCTGAGTCTTTTGACGAACCCAACTACAAGAAGCTCGTTACTGCCCTCTGTCATGAACATCAAATCCCCTTGATCCGTGTCGATTCCCACAAGAAACTCGGTGAATGGTCTGGTTTGTGCAAGATCGACAAAGAAGGCAAGCCCCGTAAGGTTTGCGGCTGTTCCGTTGTTGTCATCAAGGACTTCGGTGAGGAAACCCAAGCTTTGGATGTCGTCAAGGAGCACCTCAGACAAAACAGCTAAACTACACATTCCTAATTATGTTGTCTAGTAAGTCTGTAAATGGGGTTCATCTGTACGATGATAGCGATGCATCTTGTTTTTGTTTTTATCAAAAACACACCAAAATAACAACAAATTTGTGACTAAAAACATAGATGTAATAAAAACAACAAAAAAAAAACATTTTTTTAATGTTGAATCAAAAACATTTTTTATTAAAAATTGATAAAATATTAAAAAAAGAAAAAGTGTTATGAATTGTTAAAGAAATAATGTGAAAGGATAATAGTTTATGTTGAAGGTAGAGATGGTATAGAGAATCCAGAATGCTGGGATCATTCTTCTAGTTTTTAGTGCAGTTCTGTTTATGTTGCATCCAGTCATCAAGCTGACATTTTCTGCAAAAAGCGAAAAGAGACGAATTGTCTTAATATATTGCTATGATATGATCTTATGAGACTTTTGGTGTAATTGAAACGCACAAAACAGCCTTATTCCAGTAAAATACAAGTGAGTTATTTAAACTTTGTATAAAAATGAACTTGATCCTAACAAAATCTGTGAAACCTATAGGCTTTTTATTCCTTTATAACTCAAAATTCTATAGGAATGGTTTAATCCAAATTAACAGATATGCAGTTAATTAATCAGGTAACTAGTTCAACTACCTCCAAAATTTTACATTTTATTTCAATATACATATTAAAAATTAAAAAAAAGGTATTTGATGAACTAAAAAGGAATGTTCTCTTTTATACAGATTTTAATGCAATCATGACATGAAAATTATAGAAAAATTCAAAAAGTACCAGTTAAGCAGTAATAAAGTTCCAAAAACTTCCCTTCTATAGATTCCCATTCAGTTAAGTGCATGCGTGCTTAATTTTATGTTTCTAGGTTCAAATATTATAGAAAATTCAAAATGTATCAGTTGAACAAAAAGTATTCTCTTAATTCGGTATTTTAGTACCACGGTAGCCCCACGACATTTTTGATACATTTTTAATGTGGAATATTTTGATAAAAGTCTATATGGTAGTCAATGGAAAACTAGCCTAGTCTATCGTGGTGTCTACAGTCTAGCGGAAAATTAGTTTAGTACTTTAAACCCTAAAAGTACTATTTTTTTATAAGTTAGTACTTAAAATTTCAATTTCCCGTGCCTGTATGAGATGCAAAGAAAGTACCAAAATAAAGTTTTTACCTGTATACTTCCTAGAAGGGCCAATTTTAAAGAAAGTACCACTTATTTTTTAAATAAACAAAGATATTATATTTTTGTGCTTTAGTATAGAAGATATGAGGTTACCGAATTTATCCGTTATTAATTTTGTCCATTCCCTAATAATTCGAATTTCCAAAAATCTCTCCTTAGTGAATATACATGACTAATAATACAACTACTGTCAAAATGTAATAATTCTAGATTCAGCTGTGCGATCCTGAATCAGTTGTTTTAAACAACAAAACTAAAAGATAAGGTTTAACGTATATTTGATAACTTAAAATATAGTTTATAAGTTCTACAAAGAGTTAGAAAATATACGGATGTATATTTTACAGGTTCGCAAAATTAAATTGTTGATTTTGTAGATAACAAATGTGAAAGGCATAGGAAGTGAATCTATTAAAATCTTAAAACGATTTTCGACTTGCATAAATTTGAAATCTTATTATGAATATATAGAAATGATACTATAGTATAGTACAATAATAAATATAATAAATTAAACTATTTTGAAACATCCTGTTATTGCCACCATAACGGTAATGGTTGTAAATTTTACACCATATATGCAGTTTGTTTTTTATCTTATTTCTCTTCGTAAATATTCAGTTATTACACCTAACAAACAAAATAGTCTAAAAGAGAAAATATTATGCCAAAAGGTAAAACTAATGGCCTTAAACGGCCAATTATTAATCTATCGAATATAACTTTGGCCATAAAGGATATCGAAAATGGAATGACTATAGAAACTGCTGCCAAAAAGCATACAATTGCCAAAACAACCTTGTGGAGGCACTATAAAAGACACCAAATGTCTAACCAACAGCAACAACAACAACAACAACAAAATTGTGTTTACGTTAAAAGCCTTGTAAGCAACAGTAACCAAAACAAACAAATATTTACTGATGAGGAGGAAATCTTTCTGGCGGAATATATCAAAACATTAGCAAAATTACAATATGAACTGGATGGAAATGATATACGAAAATTTGTGTTTCTTATTGCACAGAAAAATAATAAAATAATGCCTAAAACTTGGTTAGAACATGAATTGGCGGATACGGAATGGTTGAGAGACTTCGTTAAACGACACCCCACTACACCAACTTTGGTAAAAACAAATGACAAAATAATGTCTTTATCTACTACAACTAATTATCAACCAAAAATGGATTTTAATGTTATACCTAATAATTTAAACGACTCTATATCTCTATATCTTTTTACGCAAATTTATCATCTAATGAAAGTGACAAATGCTGTTACAGAAAAAACTGCAAACGAAAATAAGTAGTTAATCTAGAGGAAGAAAAGTCCATTTTATGGAGGAGTTGGAACAAAATACCAGAAAGTCTTTAGGAATTAGACAAGCGTTTAGAAAAACTTCAGTTTCGCCAGAGACAAGTACAAAATTTAAACTGCCCGAGGCTAAATCAGTTACTACTAGTAGTCAGTCATCAGAAATGTACATTTTTGAAAAGAAAATAAAGTATCTGCATATAAAAAATATTGTAAAAAAGAAATCTTAAAATGTAATAGAAAGGAGTAGTGTAAACATTTAAATAAAATTTTGGAATGCATATTAGTATTGTTTTTAAATTATTAAACAATTATTAGATGCGCCATGTTATTAACAATAAAAAGTTTTCATTAAACTAGTGTTATCATCATGTATTTCAGAATACACAGATAACAGATAACTGTCTAATTGGGAGATTCAATTTATGATTAAATTTCATCTTAATACATATAATTTTTAAATAACCTTGCAATAAATAACAAAAATTTAGAATAAATCAATTTATACTCTACCTTGAACAATAGTAAATATTTTTACAATTGGAACATTTCTTTTCAGCATCGGCCAAACAATTAGCACATTTATGGTCCTTCTCACTAGTTGCTTTATTTGTTTTTTCCTCCTTAATCTCCTTTTCTAATTCTTCTGCTTTGGCTTCCAACTCAGCTAATAAATCCGTATTATAGGCTGCATTTAAACGTTGTGCTGTATTTAATATTTGATCTCTGTCATTGTTAAGAAATATCGATTCCTGCAATTGAGCTATACCCAAAAAACCGCCAGATTCTTCTGTTTCTTTTATAAGATTTTCTCTAATTTCAGGAAGTTCTTCTAAAACTAAATTCGTTTTTTTAGAAACATTCGAACTTTTAGACGACATTGTAAGTTGGCATAGTAATTGTTTGAGATCAATTAAGGGAGGCAACTGATCTAATAGCGATTCATGTAAAAGACCTTGACACTAGTATTTACAAAAGAGAAAACGATAGTTAAAAATTTAGGATATATTTTTGCTAGACAAAATATCTAAACTCACTTTAGCCAATTGTTTGCGCCTTTCGTCATTTAATTCATATGATGACATAAGATTGTTATTGAAAAGTATTTGACGCAAACAGAACCAAGCTTGAGCTTCGTGTTTTACAACTTTAGCCACTGCTTCACCTTTGACTAAAGTCCATTTTTCATCAATATATTTTTCAAGGCCCTTTTTAGTACGTTTTTGCCAAGGACGAAAATTCAAGAGATCAGCCATTAACCATGGTATATCATGGGTAACTATTAAACGTCTAGAAGCACTTATAGGCAAAGAGTTTGCATTGTCTGCCAAATAATTAAGTATGGAAATTGATCGCAATCCAATTTTATAGATTAAATCCCTTTTTTGACGCTCTAACTCTGTGAGTATGGACTCATCGACATCAATGTTAGTATCATTCTCATGATATCCCATGCTAAAAAAGGAAAAAAGAATACTTTGAAGATAATTTTATGAAATGGAACGCATTAAAAATATGTACTGCTATTTTAAATCTGAGGCAAAAGTACTCTATTCTTAATTATTGAGATGAATTAAATCCGATTTCGACCTCAAAAATTTCCATTTTTTCAAATTCGAGAAGTTATAACAGCAGGAAGTAGGGTTCTATAAATCGACTTTCGAATAATCGAACAATCGACTTTTTGTCGAAAAAAGTCGAAAAGTCGAAGTCGACTATTTTGTTCCAAAAAAGTCGATAACTCGACTATCGTCTGTGAAAAAAGTCGAAAAGTCGACTTTGTGAATAAAAGTCGAAAAGTCGAAAAGTCTGAAAGTCGAAAAAAGTCGATAAGTCGAAAAAAGTCAATAAGTCGAAAAAAAGTCGAATAAAGTCGAAAAAAGTCGAAAACAGTCGAAAAGTCGTAAAAAGTCGGAAAAAGTCGAAAAAAGTCGGAAAAAGTCGAAAAGTCGAAAATTGTAGAAACAAGTCAAAAATTTTAAAAAAGTGGAAAAAAAGTCAAAAACTCTAAAATAGTCGGAAAAACTCGAAAAAAGTCAAAAAATAGTCGGAAAAAAGTAGAAAGAAGTCGAAAATAGCCAAAAAGTCGAAAAAGTCGAAAAAAGTCGGAAAAAGTCGAAAAAGTCGAAAAGTCGAAAAGTCGGAAAAAGTCAAAAAGTCGACTATTTATAAAATACTTATAGTCGAAAAGTCTAAAAGTCGACTTTTATTTAAATGAAAAAAGTGGAAAAGTCGAAAAATCGACTTTTCATAAAATGCAAAAAGTCGAAAAGTCGACTTTTAACTAATTGAAAAAAGTCGAAAAGTCGACTTTTCGTTTCAACTATAGAACCCTAGCAGGAAGTCATACTGTCTGGATAAAATTAAAATTAAAGTTCTCGTACAAAGTTTAAAACATTGAAAATCTGATGTAATGAAGAAATTCTGAGGTTAGATACGAATTTAATGAGTTTTCGTAAAAATATAATTTAGTTCCTGGCTAATCATTTTATGTTAATTTTCTTATCAAACATACCTTGCTAAACCAATAACTTGAGCTACCGCTTGAGCACAATAGTCGATCAAATCAATAGCCGAATCCTGCAACGCCTCACAACCACTTTCATGATATAATGCCATGTCTAAGAGAGAAATTACTGCTCCTTCATGATATAAAACCGTGTAGATCAAAAACGTAGCTGCAGGATTTGGATCGATGTCTAAAAGATGCGGTAAAACTCTTGTTTTCCACAAAAATATACAGAATGCTTCATGTATTAGCACCTTAAGCTTATCACGAGCTATTAGCATTTCCTTAACTTCCTCTTCACGATGTTCAGCAGCCTCAAGTAAAGCCTGTTGGCTAAGTTTAATAATCATTTCATGGACATCTAACCATTTTGATGAACCAACATCTTTAATTTGAAATGGTCGAATACTTTCAATAAAATATGTTAATTCTTCGGGATATACGAAATTAGCCATATTTTTATTGGTTTTATTTTTTATTGTGCTGCGTTTCTTCTGAAGATTTTTGGGTAAAATATTTTATAATTTTCAATATTTATTTGAATAAACAAAGTTTTGGTTACTATGGTTATAAAAATAGCTTAGAAACAGAACTGAAAAACGTTAACGAAAGACATTTAAATGCAGTTTACACAGGCCAACAAACCACTGATTCTACACTGAAAATAATCCATGCTTAACTTTACGAAAAAAAACTTTCGTAACTACTTTTTTCGTAATATATACGAAAATTTCGTGTATAATACGAAATATTGTTTAATCAACCCCTTTTCTAATTTTACGAAGGTACACAGAAAATAATCCATGCTTAACTTTACGAAAAAAAACTTTCGTAACTACTTTTTTCGTAATATATACGAAAATTTCGTGTTTAATACGAAATATTGTTTAATCAACCCCTTTTCTAATTTTACGAAAGTACGAAAACCTGCCGTAATATCTTTTTTCGTATATATTAAGAAACTTTGTTTTCTTTTACAAAAATGTTTTGTTTTTTTAAAAAACATAAAAAATTTGTTTTTTTTTTAATTCGCAATCTTTTTCTAAATTTACAATAATTATTTGAAAAGAACTAAAATATTTATGTCTTAAAAAAATCGTAAAATTAACAAATTTTTTTTTTCTAAAATTATTTTGCATTTTATTAAAATATTTCGTACAATTTCGTATATATTACGAAAGAATTTCGTGGTGCGAAACCACGAAGCATTTCGTACAATGTAAAACTTTTTTCGTGTATATTAGGCATGGATTATTTTCAGTGTAGTCATATTTGAGACATATATTTTAAAGTCGACACATTGGACTTAATTATAAAGTCGTCACATTGGACGACATAACATGTTTTTTGTCTTTGCGGTGTTATTACTTCTCAAATGTGGCCAAAAACATTTTTTTCAAACTTTAGAAAATGATTCCTGAAAAACATAGTGTGATGGAGAAATTCTGAGGCTCAGTTCACTTTCGTCTCTGAGTTTCTTCATTTATAATATTTTTTAATAAAACGAGTAATTTTTAAGTTTTTTTTGTGACTTGCTTTTATCTAAGTATGTATAATATATAATAATTATTAATAGCAGTACATACAGATGAAGTAGTACAAATATTTGAAATATGTAATGGTTATTATTTATAAAGTGTACATATAAATTTTGTAATAATTATAATAAAATTTTTTTCTTAAAAACCATCAATACGTTCACATCATTATAAAGTTTATTTATATTTATTTATATAAAACAATCAATAAGGCAAAAAAATAATAAACAAAATTAATATTAAATAATATATGTATGTATGTATGTATGAGCCATTTAGATGAAGTTAATTTAAGCCCATTTATTTTTTAAATGTGTTAGTTAATTGTAATACTAAAACCATTTTAAAGTCTTTTAATTTTAAATTATGACTTTGTCAGCAAATTAAAATATATGGGTTTAAAAAGAAAATGGACTTGGGATTCAATAAAAATAAAAAGTTAAAAGCTCATGCAATTGTCACAGTTGAGAGGGAATAAGTTTTATTATGAGAATAAAATTTCGCTAAAGATAAGAAATAATTAAAGAAGAAAGGGAGAGAGAGGGTGAAACTAAAAGATAAGGTTATTTCGTTTGTTATAGAAATTTTAAACAAAAACAAATTTATGCATAATTATAAACTCTGTTTCTTTTAACATATAACTTAATTATTAAATGCTGTAGAAGTGGGTGGTGGAGGAGTAAAGGGGTTCATAGACGACGATGTTGGTGGCGGCATAACAGGAGCAGATGTAGTTGTTGGTGCCATGACGGGTACTAATGGTGTTGCTTGTTGTGTCTGCTGCTGCTGCTGTTGTTGATAAGCCGCCATTTGTGGTGGCATAGGTGTACTTTGTGTAGGATATAAACCGCCCATTGAAGGTTGAATTTGTGGATAACTAGGTACAGTTTGGGCAGCCGGATACGATAAAGCCGCTGGAGATGACATATATTGTTGTATACCAGTCGAATACATAGGAATTGCATTAGCATTCATCTGTGTTGGGGGAGCAGTAGCTTGAGGATAGGGTAATTGTGTTGGGGCCTGTATTGGTGGCATATTAGCAATATTACTAGTTGCTTCTATAACGCCTGGTATATAAAGATTCGAAGGTGGTGGCAAAGTAGTGGTAACAGATGTTGGTATAGTAGCAAAATTGGCATCAGCAGAAGTTTGCATTTGTGCTGTTAAGTTTTCATTTTGTGTCGCTGTTGGCTGGGAGGCCTCAGTAGGAGAATTATGTTCAATTGGCTGTTTTACTTGTTCACTAGTAGTTTCCGCCTTATTTTCCAAATTATTTGTTTCAGGTGTTGTTATCAACTCAGGTGTATTATCATCGGGATTGAAATAGGCCTTGAAAACACTTTGAGTTGGAGGATTTACCGTATTATCCTGTTGTGTTGTCGTTATAGTTGTTGGTGTTGCTACGTTGGATGCGGCAGTAGCAAAAGTATTACTTAGAGGAGGCACATAAGGCAATGAAGGTGCTATAACTGTGCTTGGTGCCGTTGCTGGTATAACGGGCGTAGATGTTGGCAGTGGTGCCGTCACACTTGTAGATGACGGAATAGTTGTTGGTGGTTTAGCAACAGAAGCATTACCAGCTTGTATGGGTATACGATGTAAATAGCCGTAACCAATACCGCACCCCAAAGCACCCTCACCACCCCAATGTGTATTTGGCTTGATTGTCACCTCACGGCAGGCATCATCATCAATGTTATACACGTACATTTTTAAGGGCTGCTGTTCATGCGTTTCAATCAAAGTAAATAAATCGTCATTTTCATGTCTTATAGCATCTGCACCTATAACATAATCCGAATAGGCTCTCAAGCCAACAGCCTCTGCTGGTGAGTTGGGATGTACCTCCAAAATATGCCAAACATGTTCATTGGCACCTTCAAAGGAACAAAAACGTATGCTAACGCCCAAAAGTCCCTGACCACCCCAGCCCGAACTGGGTGTTAGAGTTAATTCTCGCACCGTTTGAGTTTTACTCGAATAAACCACTAACTTTACAGGCTTATCAACATTTTGCTTTAAAAGTTCCTTTAGCATGTCATTGTCTTGATCCAAGCGTGTACCCGCTATGGCAATAATAAAATCGAAGAAGGCTTCCAAACCAGCCTTTTGTCCAGGCGAATTATCTTGCACCTACACAAGATATAATAATTTAAAGACATGCATATATGTATATAATAAATTGATAAATATGTACCTAGTATGCAGTTCAATAACATTACCTTTAATACGTGGTAGCCCTCAGTTCCTCCACCGGGTATCTCCACACTATGACTTGATCCCATTTTCGTTTAGCTTTCTAGTTTCTTTAACTGGCAACTTTCTCTTTTTCAATTTCAACTTTTGCTTAAAAATATTGATATTTTTAAAATCTTTGGAAAACTATTTTTAATATTTTCAATTGTTTTTCCACTGAAGAAAAATCAACAAAATTTTGTTAAGAATTGCGTGGCACTGTCAAAAAAAAAACCAAATAATTCTATAATTTCTTCAGTGTTGTCAGTATGTTAATTGTTTATAATGTACAGCGATTTTTAGTTTCTAGCGATTTATATTGCACAGTGGTTAAATAAAGAGCTTTTTTTCTAGAAATAATTCGGCTGAGCCGAATTAGTTCCGAATCGGCAGATAATTCGTTATAGCTTTCAAATAATCGGAAATACCTCATAAATTAATAACTATATATGGGTAAAATTAATTTCAAATATATTGTGTACACATACAAATCGATCTGTGAAATTTTTCTGGATCGGTCCATTATTTGTTTATTATTTAAGCTTTCAAAATCTATAAAATGTAAATTCTTAAAAATATTCGTCATAATAATAAAAGAAAATATCCGAAAGAAATTTAGCTTTAGAAAATTTTAATTTCCATATGAATTTTAGTTTGAAAGATAGCGTGTACTCGTTACTATTAGGATTTTATTATTTTTTTAGAATGAAAATGGTTTGGTAAAAAGTCTTGTTTGACTCATACTATTTATTACAAAATTCATTATGGTTATGAAATATTTTTTCTGTGTAGTACTTAATTAATTATATTAAAATTCGATTTAAATTGTTTGATGCAAAAAGGGAAACTTACCAAGAGTTCTAATTCAGGTGATTTAAAAAAATGTTGACGCGATACATTATGCGGAATTTACCCTGAATACCTGGCCAAAAAGGAAAAAATTTAACTGAGTATACAGTTCGATAGACAAAAATTCTGCATAATATAGTGAATTTTCAATACTTTAAGTTGAGGTTTGTAGTTTTCAGACGATGTGAGGAAATTGAAGAAAATTATGTTTTTAGAGTTTTTTCATTCTAACAGATTTATATATTTTTTTGTGGCTAAACAAATAGAGGTTTTATATTGAATTTTGTGACAAAACTTTTGTCATATTTGAAAGGTGAGACCAACAGCTATTTTTTTTTTTTTTTTTTTGGTTTAATAAACATATGTATACACTCCCGCTCACTTAAATAGGTTCACTGTTTTGTTTACATTCAAATTAATTTTTTGCAAAAAATAATGGACCCATAGTAATAATAAAATTTAAAAAAATAAAATTATGTTCAAGGTATTACAAGTGAGACAAAAATTAGCACAATACCTAATAGCTGATTTTTAATAATTTTTTTCTAATTTTGAGTACATAACGCTTGCATTTCATGGATTAGGACTATCAAGCACTTATCATATGAAAGACGAAAATATTGTCTACAGAAATTAATGTGATATAAAGTACTATAAACATTGATTATCATTTCCCACGATTCATTCAGAAATTCTTTCAAGTAAAAATGTATGTATATATTTTTTTAGCGAAATTTGATGCCAATTCTTTTCCATTTATATGATTATTGACTTAAAGCATTAACACAACTTATTTTTTAATAAATTACATATTCCAGTTTCTTATTTCATAGCGGCAGCTACTTGATATTGTTGTTGCAACTTTTGCACAGCCTCCCGATGTTTGGTCATATCCTTTTCTACATTTTCCAAAGTATCAGTGGAACTCTTAAGTTCTTTCGATATATACTCAATACGTTTGCCCACATTTTGTCGTGATTCTTCCAACTCCTGTTTAACTAATACGGGGCCATAGAGTTTGTATACTTTG